AATTATTTATACTGACGGTTAAATAAAGTGGTTGATATAAGTATGATATATTATGACAGTATTAAAAATCCATCAGTAAAAGTTTTTTTTATTGATAGAATTTGACCGTCAGTATATGAAAATTTTTTTGTAGTGTACTAGTAGCCTTGACCTTGCAAGAAAAATTCTAAACCTTTAAATGAACCATCTTTGAGAGAAATTAGATAAACTATAAGTATTTACAAGAAAAGTTATCATATTAAAGGTGGAGTTTCTTAACTTCACAAGCTAATTAAAGAGGTAACACAATAAGGTACATTTATGAAAATTATTAAGTAAATAAAATATTAAATGTACATGACAACTACTAAATACCACTTTTGCAGTTTATAGAACTTCACAATTGATCTATAATATAACAATGCTATTTCCAATAAGCTATCTATGTTAATAAAAATAAACAAAACTCATTGCTTACCATATTACACATGCCCCATTTTGTTCAAAAAATTCTTTTTGATTTTCTTAAGAATGGAAACAACATTCTTTATATCTTTCCTTTTCTCTAGTAACTCAACTGAACAATCTAAAGCTAATCTCATAATGGATGATATACAATCTACTTTATCCATCAAATGTTCTTCCTTTTCTTGTAGCAAACTAAAATCCACAATATCAATTGTTCCATTAGATAGTAAATATTCCATCCAACAAATCGTACTCATTTCTCTAGTGAAAAACTTATTTGTGTGTTTCTTTTTTGTGAAAGTTTCCATCAATAGAATGCCATAACTATAAACATCCTTTTTTGTAGAAATAATTCTTGTTGATCCATATTATGCATTTTAAGTATAATTGAATTAGTAAAATGACATAATACACTACATATTGTCATGCCATTAACATAAAAAATTACTGCCAAAGCAATTACAAAGGTAAAAATAGAATTTTGAAAAAAAAATTTAAAGTCATTACTTGGTGGCATGTATCCTATATTAGCAAATGTCATGGTTTGTTTCACAGACTCTATTTCTCCTAATAATTTGGCAATGCCAAAATCTCCCATATGTACAACCAAATCATTGTCTAGTAAGACATTGCTTGGTTTTGTAAACCAAAAAACCCTAATTCAATCACATTAGTAGAAGCATAATCAAACAATAAATCAATCACACAATAGACAGTAATTTAATGTGGTTCGATTTAAGTGACCTACATCCATGGAAGAGAAATAAAATTCACTAGTTGTAGAGAATTACAAATATACATTAAAATCAAATCATCAACCACTCAATATCCATTGACCCTCTAAATTTTCTCTAGTCTTATAGAGTATTCCTAACCCAAACAAATACTTACCCATGGGTATCCTTTCAACACAACCAAATACATACCTATATGCACCTATATATCACATTTATATAAACCCTCTTAATCTATTCTAGTCCACTCACAAACAAATACATATACCCATAAGACATAAAGCCCTAGTACTCTTATGAGGTATCTATCCCACAAAACCTTATAATTCTCTTATATCTTTTTCTCATGCCTAACCCTGTAAAGACTTCACCTATTTATAACCATACAAACTTGCCTATTAATAATCTCTTTCCTCTTATAATTCTTTCTCATGCAAGTCAAACTTGCTTATTAAGAATCCTTTTCTTCTTAGAATTATTCTCTTACAAGTCAAACTTACCTATTAAAAATTTTCTTTCTTTTAAAATTCTTCTTTTGCAAGTCTTCTTGTTCATCAAGCAATATTTGGTCAATCTAAAAAAAAATCTCTGATTAGATTTGAGTAATTATTTCCAATAATTTTCATTTTGACTCAAATTTCATCAAATCATCTATCTTCATGCTAGAAATGTTTGGCTCCACCTGTAATAAAAGTTTCACAATCATCTTCTCTTGCGTGCCTTTACGCTTCATGTAAATCAATCTTCAAAATATGAGCTCAAACTTATCTTTTGAAAAGAGCTTTTTTAAACTTGTCTCTTCTAATGTCTCAAACCATGCTCTTTTCATGTTTTGAACCTTTGGCTTTTTTCACATCTTGAACCTTCGATTCTTTTCACGTCTCGAACCTTCGACTCTGATATCACTTATTAGGGATCACCACAGCTCTGATACCACTTATTGGGCTAAAAGGTTCCAATCCAATCACATCAGTAGAAGCATAATCAAATAATCAATTAATCACATAAGAGATAGTAATGTAATGTGGTTCGGTCTAACTTACTTACGTCTACAGATGAGAAATAAGATCCATTAGTTATAAAATATTACAAACATACATAAAATTAAATCATCAACCATTCAATACCCAAGACCCTCTCAATCTCTTCTAGTCTTAGGGAGTATTTTTAACCCAAACAAATATGCACACATATACACCCTTTCAACACAACCAAACACATACCCATATGCATCCATATATCACATTATGTAGACTATCTCAGTCTTCTCTAGTCCACTCATAAATAAACATGCATACCCATAAAACGTAAAACCCTAATACTCTTATAGGGTATCTATCCCATAAAATCTTACAACTTTCTTACATCTGTTTCTTATATCTAACATTGTAGAGACTTCACCTTTTATAACCATATAAACTTGCTTATTAAGAATTCATTTTCTCTTATAATTCTTCTCATGCAAGTCAAACTTGCCTATTAAGAATCTTTTTCCTCTTAGAATTTTTTTCCTACAAGTCAAACTTACCTAAAGAATCCTCTTTTTCTTAAAATTCTTTTTTGCAAGTCTTTTTATCCATCAAGCAATATCTGACCAATTAAAAAAAAATCTCTTATGAGATTTGAGTAATTATTTTCCAACAATCTTCATATTGACTCAAATTCCATCAAATCATCTGTCTTCATGCTAAACATGTTTGGCTCCACTTGTAATAAAAGTCTCACAATCATCTTCTCTTGTGTGCCTTCATGCTACATGCAAATCAATTTTCAAAACATGAACTTGAACTTATCTCTTGAATCGAACTTCTTTGGACTTGTCTCTTCTCATGTCTTGAACTTTTACCTCTTCCCACATCTTGAACCTTTCACTTTTCTCACATCTCGAACCTTTGGCTCTGATATCACTTATTAAGGATCACCACAGCTTTGATACCACTTGTTGTATTAAAAAGCTCCAATTTAATCACATCAGCGGAAGCATAATCAAATAATCAATCAATTACACAAAAAACAGTAATTTAACGTGATTTGATCAAACTAACCTACGTCTATGGATAAAAAATATGATCCACTAGTTGTAGAGAATTACAAATATATATAAAATCAAATCATCAACCACTTAATACCCATAGACCCTCTCAATCTCCTCTAATTCTGTGGAATATTCTCAACCCAAATAAACACATACCTATGTGTACCCTTTCAACACAACCAAACATATACCCATATGCACCCATACATCATATCTATTTAGACCCTCTCAGTCTCCTCTAGTCCACTCACAAACAAACATACACACCCGTAAGACATAAAGCCCTAGTACTCTTATAGGGTGTTTATCCCATGAAATCTTATAACTCTCTTACATCTTTTTCTCATGCCTAACCCTATAGAGACTTCACCTATTTATTACCATACAAACTTGCCTATTAAAAATCCCTTTCTTCTTAAAATTCTGCTCTTGCAAATTAAACATGTCTATTAAAAATCTCTTTCCTCTTAGAATTCTTCTCTTTCAAGTCAAACTTACATATTAAGAATCTTCTTTCTCTTAGAATTTTTCTTTTACAAGTCTTCTTGTCCATCAAGCAATATCTAGCCAATCTAAAAAAAAAATCTTTTATGAAATTTGAGTAATTATTTCTAACAATCTCTACCTTAACTCAAATTTCATCAAATCATCTGTCTTCATACTAGACATGTTTGGCTTTACCTGTAATAAAAGTCTCACAATCATTTTCTCTTATGTGCTTTCATGCTTAATGTAAATCAATCTTCAAAACATGAACTCAAACTCATCTCTTAAATCAAGCTTCTCTGAACTTGTCTCTTTTCATGTCTCGAACCATACTTTTCTCATGTCTTGAACTTTCAGCTTTTCTCATATCTTGAACCTTCGACTCTTCTCACGTCTCAAACATTTGGCTCTGATATCACTGAGTAGGATCACCACAACTCTAAAATCACTTATTAGGTTAAAAAGCCCAAATCCAATCACATCAGTAGAAGCATAATCAAATAATCAATCAATCACACAAGAGATAATAATTTAATGTGATTTGATGCAACTGACCTACGTTCATAGATGAGAAATAAGATCTACTAGTTGTAGAGAATTACAAACAACCCTTTCAACATAACCAAACATATACTCATATACCCTCATACATCACGTCTATGTGGACTCTCTCAGTCTCTATTAGTCCACTCACAAAAAAACATGCACACCCATAAGACATAAAGCTCAATACTCCTAGGGGTGTCTATCTCACAAAATACTATAACTCTTTACATCTTTTTCTCATGCCTAACCCTGTAGAGACTTCACATATTTATAACAATATAAACTTGCCTATTAAGAATCCCTTTTCTCTTAGAATTCTTCTTCTGCAAGTCAAACTTGCCTATTAAAAATCCTCTTTCTCTTAAAATTCTTCTTTTGCAAGTCTTCTTATTCATCAAGCAATATCTGATCAATCTAAAAAAAATCTTTTATGGGATTTTAGTAATTATTCTCAACAAGTTTTAGGTCACAATGAATTATAGGATTTGGATGTCCTAGATGGAGGTATTCTAGTGCAAATGCAACATCTATCATTATGTTGAGTCTTTGTAAGATATCCAAGAAATAATGGTCAGAGTATAACCATTTCTCGAGACTCCCATTAGGCATAAATTCAAACACTAAAGCTTTGAAACCAATGCAAGAACAACCACTAATTATCTTGACAATATTACAATAAAGTATACTTTTCAAGACTTCATATTCAGCATAAAAACTCTTAAAGGCTCCCCCTAACTGCAAATTAAAAACGTTTACTGCAACATTCCTCCCATTTGAAAGTCTTCCTTTATATACGAGCCAAAACTTCCAAAACCAAGCAAGTTACCTTTATTGAATCCGTCAATCGCTTGTAGAAGTCTGTTGTACATATTTCCATTATGTATTTCCAGAATTGTTGAATCATCTGTAATTGACAGATTTGTATTCCAACCATTTTGGAATTTTTTTAAAACAATAATGAAGGTTACTATCAATATTATTAAAGCCATTGATGGCAAAGCATATGTCAAAACATACAATAGGCTCCTTTTGGATTGTCGATGGGTGCTATTTTTGCAATCAGAGACTTCAAACCTAGCTGAACCATAAAGTGCATAATAATTTTTAAATGATTTTGCTGTGAAGCTTGTAAAGGATCCTTCGGTGGGGATTTCGCCTTCCAACCTGTTGAAAGCCACATTAAAATAACAGAGAGATGAGAGTTTTTCCAAAGACTTTAGAATGATTCCAGAGAAATTGTTATTAGCTAAATCCGAGGTTTGCAAACTTGTCAAGTCACCTAATGATGTAGGAATAGAACCTTGTATTCTATTGTTAGACAAAGACAAAGTTTGTAGATCATTTAAAGCCCCATTATTGCTAGAATATCACTTGATAATAGATTCCTTGATAAATTCAAATATGTTAGCACCTTCAAATTCCCAATATCTTGTGAAAGTGAACCGTTAAGGTAATTTGAAGAGAAATCTACAATCAAGATAAATTTAAGGCTCCAAAAGGTGAAGGGTATTGTTGAATACAATTTGTTGGAGGACAAGTTTAGAGATCTTAAGGCAGTCAAGGCACCCAAACATGGGGGTATTGGTCCTTGAAGCATATTGCCACTCAACGATAATTCACTCAGTTTCTCCAAACAACAAAAATTGTCTAGAATAGAGCCTTGTAATTTATTATCATCGAGATAAAAACCTTGGAATTTTCGTACCCTTTCTATTGTTGTTGGAATTGATCCACTTAATTCGTTTTGGGAAAGATTTAAACGTATATTATTGTTTAAGACACCATTTTCCATAAGAATACTACCTTTAATTTTGCAGTCATTGGCATTGAATTCTTCAAGTGATGAAAAGAGATTTAAGATAGAAGTTGGAAGAACACCTCTCAATGGATTGGAAAATATCCTTAAGATCCTTAGATTCCTGCAGTGTGCTAATGAAGAAAGAAAGCTCCATTCATGATTTGGACTTTTGGTGGTCAAATGGTTTGATGAAAGCCTTAAAGCCTCAAGGAGAGTCAAATTGCCTAAGGTATTTGGAATAAAGCCAGTGAAGGAGTTTTGTTGCAATTCTAAAATTCTGAGCTTAGAAGCATTAGAAATATAATTAGGAATATTCCCACTAAGATTATTACTCCATAGATAGAGCCCCTCGAGATTTGAAGCCAAGCACGTGGATGGTAATTTGCCTAAAATGAAAAAACATTATAAGGAGAATTTTAGCTTACGTATATTACAGTAAGTGTGAAGAAGTTTTTGAACATTAATTGTAAATCTCAAATTTAACTTATGCACGTATTTATCTATAACTTATAAGTTATGTATGTAGTGGGTGTGTGCCATTGAATATAATCGCTGTTTTATACTCCGAAGTAACTTATGTTTAAAAAAAAGTAAATGTTGAGCAAATTACCTGATAGACAATTGTTTTGAGCAGAAATTATTTTCAAAGAATAAATAATGAAGATGGAAGATGGAATTAGCCCTCTTAGCCGCATAATCTCTGATGCATAAAAGAGCTCCAATGTAATAAAATTCCCAATCTCCAATGGAATTTCACCTGTAAACGTTGGTAAAAAACATTAAACCCAAGGAAACATCATAGTAATAATAAAGCTATATATCTGTTAGCCAATAGCCACTAATCTGTTGATAGAGTGCTAAAAAGGAATAATACATATAGAAAAGGAATGCTGAAAACCAAATCAAAGTATGAATAAAAAAAAAATCAAATGTAGAACTTTAGCTCCTAAATCTTATAACTTAAATACGTCTGCTTGAGCCTAGCTAAATTTCCCATACTTATTGGAATCAGCCCAGTAAATTGATTACCATATATTGATACACTTTGAAGGTTGCTACATTCACCGATGTTTGAGGGAATATGACCAGAAATATCGTTGTAAGTTAAATCAAGCACTTCATGTTTTTGAAGATGGGAACACATGGTATCTGGAAGACTACCAGACAAACTGTTGTTGTAGAAATAAACTCTCTTCAAAAAAGAAATGTTGAAAATGAAAGCCGGAATTTGACCATTGAGGCTCATATTCTCCACAACAAATATTTCCAAAGAAAAAAGTTTACCCACTTCCCAAGGATCGCACCTGTAAATTTAGTAAAAACCAATCACTTGCAAGATCTCACGTACTTAAATAGAGAGAGAGAGAGAGAGAAAGGAGAGATTTACATATATTGGAGTAACTCTTATATTTTTTTAACCCTTAAATCAGTGGTGGATTTTCTTTAAACTTTCAATTTTTAAAGGTGTCTAGAATAAAATTTTGGGGTTGTCCAGTAGAAAATTCTCCTTTAAATTTCCTTATTCATTGACACCCTACCACACCATTTACATTCTCCTCTGTTTTGGATAAAAATTACTAAATCTAAAAATATTATTTTAATTCAAATAAGTCATGGATTAAATTTAATGTAAAGAGTCAAAAAAATATATAAAAGTTACATTAATGTAAATAGATCCCCACTTATATATATAAAGAGAGTAGAGATATGCTAGTGTTAATGTTACACTCTTTTTTTTATCCTAATAACAAAATTAAATTTATAAAACTTACACTTAACCATTTTGATCTAACGGTAAAAAAAAAGTATAACACACTGGGAAGGATTCACTTACACTAGTATAATTCTTTTTTTTACGTGAACTCTTGTATCAAAATTACTAAATTTAAAATATTATTTTGATTAAAATGAATCAAAGATTTAATTTTGATTCAGGTATAAACGCTTTATTTTGTCTGAGATTTTTTTTATATTCAATGGGTTTTGAATTTTATTCAATAATAAGTTAAGAAATTGTTCAATCGAACTTTCATTTATGAAGCAAGATTTTAAACTTAAATTTAAAGGCGCAAAAGCATTTTTAATTTATTTATATTATTTTCTTCCTTTCTTTATTTTATTTATGTTTTGTTATTTAGTAAAAAAATAAACATAATTTTTTTGTTTTAAAGATTGTGATTTTATTTAGATTTGAAATTCAAATGTTGAGTTTGATTTTAGTAATTTTTAGCAATCAAGTTTCTATGAGAAGGAAAAGAAATTTTGGAAGGATTTTGATTGATTTAGTTGGCATTAAAATTTTTCAAATTAAAAAGAGATTTAATCTCTATATGAATAGCTCAATTCCAAGCTTAGCAAAAAAAAAAGTGATAAAAAGCAACACACAACAAATAAACACAAAGTCTTGAGTTTTGAGAAAGAAGTTCCTGATCAGAGAAAGAAGGAAGATTAATAAGCAATTAGGAGAGAAGATCACAAGAACAATCAACAATTTAGCAAGGTAATAAGTAATTGAGTTATCACTAAGAATAAAAAAGAATCGCAAAGGAAAAAAAAAAAGCTATACACGTAATATTAAAGCAAACAGAGTCAAGCAAAATTTTCTTGGCAGTAAGCTTTATTTCGAATCGGCCCAAGAGAATTGGTTAGGTTTTTTTTATTTTTATTTATTATGATGTTATATTTATTTGTTATCTAATGTGACTTGCGATAAGATTTGTGATAATAATTTTTTTATGAAATTATAAAAAATTAATTTGTTTTACTAGTTTTTTTACTAATTTATTTATTTATTATTTATTATTTCAATTTTATTTTTTTTACCTATCAATTATTAATGAAAATAAAAAATTGTATTGAATTTTTTAGAAATAATAAAAATTGATGGTTTTTACTATGTGATTATTTATGATTTTTTATACCTATTAACCTATTTGTTTATTCGTATAGCATTTGACTTTTTATATGTATTAATCTATTTGTTTGTTTTTTGCATACAATTTGATTTGGGATATTGGATTTGTGAATAAAAAAGGTTGGTATATGACTTCACATACACATTCATGCATAAATTCTAGATCTAAGCTTTGTCTTTTCTTAGAACAAAGTAAGCACTTATACTCTCATGAGGTGATAACTTTCTCATAAGCTAGTAAAAACTCTCATTTATCAAACCTTTTTACATTACTTTCTAACCTTAAACTAGTCTATGAAAAAACCTTACTTATCAAACCTTTTTACATTAAGATGATATTGAAACCAAATTTGTCCATATTTATAATGGCATCAGATTTAATTGTTCATAAACTCTAATTAATATTACCTACATTTGATCAGAAATTTTAATCAGTTAAGAGATATCTAAAATAATTATAGCACTTTAATATAATTGAAACTCTTTTCTATCTATATATAAAACAAATCATATTATTAGAATTCAAATTATAATATAAAAATTAATTTAGAAATTTAAGCAAAGAGGATAATTTAATTATAACTCATGGACTATGACCCTATTTTTGTTGAATGAAATTTAACTATAGTTAAAAGTTATCTAAATAATTATTATCTAGCAAATTCTATCATAATGACAACAATTCAATATAATTGTCGCAACAGTTTCGTGTTCGCCTGATGAATTTGAAAAAAAAAAAAAAGGAATCGCCACCAATCTTTTTTGGTTAGGTGCGATTGGCCACCTATTAAAATATATCATTTTAATGAAATGTTAAAATTAACTAAAATTTATTAAAATGATAATTTTAGGGTCTGCGCAATAGTCTGGGTTCGGGAGTCAGTTACGTATGGAAATGATTAGCACCCCCAAAATGTCTGTTTAAAACGATACCAATTAAGTATGTGTTATCAACTGATTTTAATAAAAACAGTCTTATTTTCGGTGTGTGAAAAATAATTTTCTAAATAATTTCCTTGAATTTTGATTTATTAGAAATTATTTTTATTTTATTTTATTTTTTAGTGCTCAAACTTTATTCGAGAAAAATAAATTAAAACCCTTTTATCAAAGTAATTCTTAAAATATTTCAGTACGTTGGTAACATTAGAAGAACCTTTTTTCACCTAGAAATTTCTTAAGCATCGCTTCTCAGAATACTTTAGAATCTCATCATCGAAGGGTCAAATTTATTTTTTCGTAAAAAAACTATGCCATGCATGCAATGCAATGATAATATGTTAATACAACATTTTATTTTTTTATTTAAAATTTTATTAATTTTAATTAATTTTTATCATTATTTTTATTTAAAAATAAAAAAAATTTTATTATATTGAATATTTTCTATAAATATTCCAATACACTAGTAATATTTTAAAAATCTTCTCACCTAAGGATTTTTTTAAAGCATCTCTACTTGAAATACTTTTAGAATCCTATCATTGGATAAATTTTTTTTCTCATTTTATTACCTATTCTTAATTTATTATTTTATAAAAAAAAATTTATTGTATTGAAAATCTTTTATAAATACTCCAATACGCTGGTAGTATTTAAAAAAAATCTTTTCATCTAGGTATTTCATAGATATCACTACTCGAAATACCATTGAATCTCATCATCTAGTAAAAGTTTCCTTTTCTTACAATTTTATTAATTTTGTATTATTATTAAGTTTATTTTTTATTTTTAAAGTTTATTTTAAAAATTAAAAAAATTATAAAAAAATTTAACTACATATTTCATCATTTAATATAATAAATATAAATATTTTAATATGCATAAATTTAATAAAATAATATATAAAAAATTCAAAAAAAAATTATTTTTTACCTAAATTGGATCGATCAACAATCCGATCAATGCGGGTTCAATCAATTTGGTGACCCGGCTTGATCTGGTTAGTTCGACGGTTCGAGGTTGGTCTGCCTCGATTTAGATAGATTGGTCCGGGTCTAAGGGTGGTCGAATCGTCAGATCGATTGTACAGACCTCGAATTGGGTTGGTAGGTTGACACGCGGATCCTGGGTGCTTAAAACAACGTCATTTTGATGCTTAGCCTTCTATATAAAAGTTTAATTTTTTTTCAACTCATTTTTTCCCTCTCCAAAAAAAAAAAAAAACTCTATCTCTTTTTTTTTTTCAGGCCGATTAGGGTCGGTGACTGTCTGTCATGATGGCCGTCGTGGTCCCTGCCAATAGTGAACTCCGACCGCCGTCGTCGATGGCAAAAAATTCCAAAATCTCCCAAAATGCTCCCATCGACTCTCTAAACCCAAATATGGCCTCCGTTTTGCCAAAAGGAGAATCAAACAGCCTAGATCTACTCTTGAACTTTCAGCTGAAACCTTTCTCTTTTTTTTTTTATTAACTTGCTTGCTTTTTTTTTTAGACTGATTTTGTTTTTTCTTTTCACAAGGGCTCCAGGCGTTGGGTTCCTCGTTCCAGGGAATTGTGTTTTTTATTATTTTTTGGTCTGGTAGAATGGTTTTATTTTGGCGGGGTCTTCTTTGATTTTTTTTAATCGATCTCCCTCATTTTTTTTGCAGTTAACAAGCTCTATTTATAGAGCTTTCTGGATTCAAATCTTAGATTTTTTTAGATTCAAATCCCATATTTTCAACCAAAAATTCATGCTGTCAAGTTAGGCAGTGTGTCAGGAGACTGCCGGTGGTGGCGGTGGCTGGCATTTTGAGACTTTTGGTGATAGTGCATTTAATGCACTCAGAATTTTGTCAAACTTAATCAGATAAGGAAAAAAAAAAGAAGGAAAAAAAAGAAAAGAATGAAATAAATAATAATAATAAAATACAAAATTATGTTTACAGCTACCCCTTTACCTATTTCTGAGAATCAGAAATAAGGCAAAGACAAATAAACAAACATTTTGTTCGGAAAGAAGAAACATTTAGCACAATTTTTTTTAAAAAGAGATCCTCTAAACAAAGGTTTAATGACATTGTTGAAAATTTAAAAAGCTCCTTTAAGCAGAGGCTCAACAACTTTAAAATTTATTTTGAAAAAGCTCCTCTCAGTAGAGGCTTAACAACTTTTAAAAATTTCATCTTGAAAAAGGCTCATCTCAGTAGAGGCTCAACAACTTTAAAAATTTTATCTGAAAAAAGCTCTTCTAAGCAGAAGCTCAACAACTTTAAAAATCTATCTTGAAAAAGCTCTTCTAAGCAAAAGCTCAACAACTCTAAAAATTCATCTTGAAAAAAGTTTCTATCAGCAGAGGCTCAACAACTTTAAAAATTTATCTTGGAAAAGCTCCTTTCAGCATAGGCTCAATAGCTTTAAAATTCCATCTTAAAAAAGCTCCTCTAAGCAAAGGCTTAACAACTTTA